TGTGCCTGACATTATACCTGGGCCAGTTGAATCTTTTATTTAACTTTTCCATTGTGCAACTCACATAAATCATTGGCAGCGTATATTAAATGAGAAACAATTAACTCCATCTCTAAATATCGCGATGTTTCTCTTTGAATTTGTGATAAAATTAACTTGACTCATGTTGTTCACAGCGCTCAGGGTTTTCCTCTTCTACGAGTGTTTTTGGATGGTACAACTATCCGAAACTTCAATGTCGTTTTGTGTATGAACGCATGCATTTGTTAGAATTTATCTGATGTTTTTATTTCTTTTGAAAGAAACTACAGGCAGGTTGGGGAAAATTTTCTTTAAAACGCTAATGTTCTTGCGCAATAGGTGTCATGTAATATTTTGGAAATTCCAGCAAAATTTCGGTGCCAACTGATGACTCATAAGATTCTGCTACAATTTTTATTGTGTTTTTCTGGGATTTCTGCTGGTATAAAACTATGGTAATCTTCATTTTTAGCGATTTTATTCTCAATTTGTTTCAGTCGTGATTCTTTAGAGCCGCGCTTAAGATAATGCTGAACTAAACCATTATTATGCTTTCCATGAGTCTGAAATGCGATTTGCAGTTCGTCAACACTAGAATCAAACAGACGCGGAAGTTTAAATATCTGGGAAACGTCTTGACAGAGGACGGTAAGTGCGACACTGAAATCCGTAGACGTATTAGGATGGCCAAGCACGCATTCGAAAAGCTAGACAGAGTATTGCGAGACAGGAGGATTTCACTGGTAACGAAGAAAAGAATATTAAGCTGTTACGTGACATCTGTCCTTCTTTACGGCAGCAAATATTGGACGATTTCCTCAACGGTGACGGAGATGTGGTTCTACAGAAGGGTGTTAAGGATATCATGGACCGAGCCTATGAGCAACGATGAGGTCTTACAGAGGTTGCAAACAAGGAGAAGACTTATAATTAACATCAAGAAGAGGCAGCTGAATTTTCTGGGACACATAATGAGGAAGGAGGGCCTGGAGAATCTTGTACTCACGGGTCGAATAGAAAGAAAGAGAGACAAGGGAAAGCAGTGCGTGACATGCCTAGCGAGCTTAAGCAAGTGGATGACAGAATCTATCCTGGGGGAGGAAGCAGAGGGAAGGAACATACTGAGAGTTGCAAGGGATAGATGGAGGCGGAGAGCCATGATCGCCAACGCCCTGAACGGACATGGCACATAGAAAGAAAGAAGTATGTTTCCAATAATCTTTCATCTCCGTGCAAATTTGCCTTATGCCTGAAAATTGCGTTTGATTTTATCGTATAATAATTAAATGACAATTCTCCTACAGGGCCTAAGGACCATAGTTTGAACTCGGCTCTACAGGATACAAAGATGGAAACATAATATACGCAAATAATAATAATAATAATAATAATAATAATTTGCAGTAGACTAATTGAAGGGATTCCTGGAAGTCCATGTCTCAAGGAGATACAAAAAATTGTTCTTACAAGTACAGCCCACACTTTACGAAGGGCTTTATCTATGTAATTTTTTTTTTTTCTTTGTCAGTGGAAAGTGTCATGATGCCATTTCTAACCGTAGGTCCCTGGGCGGGACCCGGAAAGAAATGTGTAAACGCCAGAAATCAAAGTAAATAATAATAATAATAATCAAAGATGGAACTAACCCGAAATGCAGAATCTGCGGAAAATATGTTGAAACTGCCGACTATCTCTGGATTCCTGGAACTAGCAAAAAATGAATATACCCACATGCATAACGAGGTAGTGACATATGTGCACTTGAAGATATGCCAATAGCACAAAATCGAAACCACTGAGAGATGGTATGAGCACCAACCAGACACAGTTACTCAAAAAAAAAAAAAAGATGAAACTATACTCTGGGACATGCCAATTCCAACTAACAGGGAAATAAAAGCCAACAGACCTCATATTATCATAAAAGGCAAGAATTTCAGGAAGTGTATGCTTATTGACATAGCAGTACCATCTGAGAGAAACACTTCCATGAAGATTATCGAAAAATTGTTCAAATACAAATATGTGGGGAATAATGACTGAGGCTTTACCAATAGTATTCAGAGTACTGGGCCTCGTGAGAAAAAGAATGAACAATTTTACTGTGTCCCAGGTAACATCAACATACAAGTTGCTCAGAAGATCGCATTACTCAGAACATCCCATATACTAAGAAAAGTACTATCAATTAAATGACAATTCTCCTATTTGGCCTAAGGACCATAGTTTGAACCTGGCTCTACAGGATACAAAGATGGAAACATAATATACGCAAATAATAATAATAATAATAATAATAATAATAATAATGATAATGATAATCGGGAAGATATTATAGGATTTCTCATTCCAAACATATAATGTGAGTGAAAAACGAAGACCCAATCTTATTGTTATGGATAAGGAGAATAGCAAGTGTCAAATCATTGACTTTGCTGTTCCATATGATAAAAAGAGTGGACTCCGAAGCAAGTGAAAAGGTTGTTAAATACCAGGATCTCGCTAGGGAGCTGAAGAAGCTATGATCTACTTTCTACGGCTTATATCTTTGCAGAAGATATTTTAGACTGTAAGAATTTTCTTTTGAGCGGGGAGATAATAATGATTTAGTGATACAAGTCTTACTGATTAACCCATGGCTTGGGGGAGAAGAAATGGATTAATACTTTTTCTAGGGTTATTTGCGCGGAAATTGGGATTCGGCTCTCCGATTAAAAATTGGGAGCCATTGCACATTAAACCATTCATGCTTACAGCACCTGGTATTCTAAAGTGGTCTCTCATCTAAGTACTGGTCATGCTCAGCGTTGCTTAACTTCGGTGATCGTACCGTAATCCTTGAAGAAGCTATGGAGCATGAATGTAAAAAAAAATGTCTTAATAGATGAGCTTGGAGCATCACCTAGAAAACGGTAACAGCACATCAGGAGAATCAGACTTGAGAACCAGAAAATTGCCATCATTTAATCAGCAAGATTTCTCCGAAAATTTAGCGAATAATTCTCTGGTACTGAAATAAAAAAAAAGTTAACTGGGAAGATGAAATGAAGTTAAGTCTGCTATGCAATTTCACTTTATAAAACAACTGGAAAAAAATAAATTTGAATATTTGCCAAAAAAATTTTTTTTTTATTATTCTTTATTAAATTCAGTGGGGATTGCTTTTCTTTGGCGCATTTCCCTGTTCTGAATCGAAACCGTGCACTTATATGGAATTGGGTTGTCTATTGGGACACGTGTTATTATCTGTCATCCCGTCTCGAGACGATGAAATTACTTCCAAGAAAGGAAATTAAATTTTTTTTAAAAATTTCCCCCGTTCTTACTTTTTCCAAAGCAGCCATACAGAGATCGAGTTTTATTTTCATATCTTATACGTGCAAGGGTAATAGAATGGACTTTGTCTTCCAAACTTGTATGTCGGCCAGTCTAGGAGAAGACATGTAGAACGCTTGTGAAATAACTCTGTTATCTTCATCAATAAATGATGCCAATTCAAAGATAATGAAGGGAAGGAGTCTGTACACAGCTATGATCAATTAAGATCTGCGAAAGAAAGGGAAACAAAGAAAGACAGCAGCAGTGACTACAACAAAGAAGAAGAAGAAGAAGAAGAAGAAGAAGAAGAAGAAGAAGAAGAAGAAGAAGAAGAAGAAGAAATGAAGTGGCTTGGTTGATAAACGGTTTTAAATTTTGGAAATGTTTTGGAAGTTTTTAACTACAAACCGCTTCCAGAGCAGTGGCGTTAATTGACTATTCCAGCCATAACAGAGTTTTGGGTCACATCTTTAGTAAGACAATTCGTTCAAATGAAGAAGAAGAAGAAGAAGAAGAAGAAGAAGAAGAAGAAGAAATGATTCAAAACAAGAGAAATTCACTCTCTTATCTTTGCCAAGAAATGGTAGCAATACACAGATAATAAAAAAAGCAATCAGTGGAGAGCTATGGCCGTTTAAGTCCTGCAAAAAAAGAAAGAAAGAAAGAAAGAAAGAAGAAGAAGAAGAAGAAGAAGAAGAAGAAGAAGAAGAAGAAGAACAACAACAACAACAACAACAACAAAAAGAACAACAAGAAGGAAGTGGAAGTAGTGGAGAATAATAATAATAATAATAATGGTGAGGGGAAGTGGAGGGAAGAAGAAGGAAAAGGAGAAGAAGAAGAACAACAACAACAGCAACAAAAACAACAACAACAAAAACAACAACAGCAAGAAGTAAAAAAATGTAAACACCATGAAGAACGCTGGAGAAAAAAATCACTTTCGTATCTTTGCCAAGAAATGGTTGCAATTCACAGATAATAAAGAAAAGGTGCCTGTGAAGATTGCTTTCCATAGAATTTTTTTTTCTTTATTGATGCTGCTATGATCGTCCATGTAAAAGAAATGAAGACATAAAACAGAGAAAAAGAAATATGGCGACAGTGACGAGAACAACGAAGAAGGCAACATTAAATAAAGATATTACCTAAAAAAAAAAAACCCAAACTAAATACAAAATGCATGTTCACCAGCAAAAGACGCAACTCAGCGTGTGTGCTAGTATTGGGCAAAGTCATGTAGTTACAAAGTTACTAGTTGGATAATGTAATAACAGAAGACAAAAAATTTAACACGAAACCATATGGAAATAGAGAAAAATCTCTTTCAGAAATTGTCCTTAAAAACAGTGCTGAACTGCTGTCATGTCTAATCAGCGATATGACAGTGAATGCTGGACAATCTCCTCAAAGATAAAGAATAGTCTTGAAGCGACAGCGATGTAGTCCTATCGAATAGTGACCTGGATAGAGCATTTGAGCAACGGAAATGTTTTAGGGAAAGAAAAGAATATAATTAGAAAGAGATAGTTTTAATTCCTGTGAAACAAAGAAAAGGATAAGATAAGTGAACACTCACATGACAAACTGATTGAACAAAAATGATAACAGTGGGTAAGCGATTTAACGTGTTTATGGGTATGGTTGACTGCACAAAGACGATGCGGGATGATAAAGAGTAAAAAGCTACTCAAAGCAACAAAAGATAGGAAGTTGTGGGGAGCCATGATTTCCTATTTACTGAAAGGAGATTTCATTCCCTTTCTTTCTTTCTTTCTTTCTTTCTTTCTTTCTTTAGTTCTCACCATTCCATTTCATTTCTTTCTTTTTTTTTCCTTCGTTCTCTTCATTTCTTTATTTATTTCATTCTTTCTTTTTTTTCTTTCTTTCTTTCTTTCTTTCTCACTATTTCATTTCATTTCTTACATTCTTTCTTTCACTCTTTCCTTCTAACCATTTCATTTATTTATATATTTATTTCTTCATTTCTTTCTTTCTTTCTTTCTTTTCTTTCTCTCTTTCGTTCTCACTATTTCATTTTTTCCTTTCTTCTTTTCTTTCTTTCGTTCTCTCAATTTTATTTCATTTCTTTCTTCCTTTCTTTTATTCTCGCCATTCCATTTCATTTCTTTCTTTCTTTTTTCCTTCGTTCTCACCCTTTCATTATATTTCTTTCTTACTTCTTTTCTTTTTTTCTTTCGTTGTATTTCATTTCATTTCTTTCTTTCTTTCTTTCTTTATTTCTTTCTTTCTTTCTTTCTTTATTTCTTTCTTTCTTTCTTTCCTTGTCACCATTTTATTTCATTTCTTCCTTCCTTTCTTTAATTCGTTCTCACTATTTCATTTCTTTTCATTTCTTTCTTTCTTTCTTCCGTTCTTCTTTCTTTTCTTTCTTTTTTTATTTATTTCTTTCGTTCTCACTATTTCAGTTTTTGTTTCCTTCCTTCCTTCCTTCCTTCCTCCCTTCCTTCCTTCCTTCCTTCCTTCCTTCCTTTCTTTCTTTTTCTGTCTGTCTCTCTGTCTTTCTTTCTTCCTGTCTTTCTTTCGTTTCCACCATTTTCTTTCTTTCTTTCTTTCTTTCCCTTTTATTCTCTTCTTTTCTATTTCATATTTTCTTTCTTCATAAACGAAAATCCTTCAAATCTCTCCTGTTACATTTACACCAACAATTGAAGAACAAAACACGAAAGCCTCGGATTTGGAGACTGTCTCATTTTTGAAAATAGACTTGCGTTTTATGAAAAGCTACGTCTAATATGCGAAAAAAACATTATTTTTGCTCATCCTCTTTCTTTCTATTTTTCTTTCTTTCTTTAATCTCGTCTCTGCATCATTGTTACACACCTTCTTGACTTGCTGTTTTTGTCACTGTCGTCATCTTTCTTTTCCTGTTTTCTTCTGTCTTTCCTTCTTTCCTTGTTTGCTTTGTTTGTTTTTTATCGTTTTTCCTTCCTATCTTATCATTTATCCTATTCTTCTAGCAATGTGTTGACTGCGATAACTACATCGCTTTGAGCGGCCATTATTTGTACCAAAGTAAAAGTAAGAATTCTGAATATTCTTTTTCAAGGTAAGCAAACGTATACTCATCCCTATGGAAGATTGGCGCAACACAATCTTTCTGTATTATATTCCTGTTTGTTAGTATCATCTTCAAATTTATTCTTCTTCGTCTTCATCTTCTTTGTCTACTTTTCATCTTCTTTTATTTTTACTCATTGTTCTTCTTTGCCTTCTTTTTCATCATCATCATCATCGTCGTCGTCGTCGTCATCATCATCATCATCATCATCATCAGTATACTTATCCCCTTCACGTTCTAATTGTTTTTATTATTCATCTTCAGGATATGCTTATTTTTTTCAAATCCATGTACTTTCTTTATCATTCTTCTTTTTCATCTTATCATCTTCTAGTTTTTGTTGTTGTTGCTCTTCTTCTTATTCTTCTTCTTCTTCTTCTTCTTCTTCTTCTTCTTCTTTTGAACAAATTGTCTTACTAAAGGTGCGATTCAAGACTGTGTTATGGCTGGAATAGTCAATTAACGCCACTGCTCTGGAAGCGGTTTGTAAACTTCCAAAATTTCAAACCGTTCATCAACGAAGCCACTCCACTTCATCTTATTTAATATTGCATCTTTTATTTCTGTTCTAATGCTTATCTTCGTTGACCAGAGTCCTGTACCCAAAACAATCTTCACAAGTCACAGCCCCGCCATTTCAAAGCCAAGGATATGTTATAGAATTCACTTATAAATACCGACCAGCGTTTTACGGAAGAAACTCGTCTATATTTCATTTTCTTTGCTACGACGGTTGGTTCTGAAAATGTTTGGGATTTATACTCGCTTGAACGACGGATATTGCAACAACACTGACAGGGAGCGATTACAAATCAGCGCACACTGCAGGCGAAGTAAACATCACACACTCACGGGATCTTATACAGTTCCCTAAACCAGTACACTGACAGCTGTTCAAAGAGAGAAAGAATTTAAAAGAGAGGGATTGGCATTGGTCATTTTTCAAATAAATCATTGACTCGTCGTTTGGATAGTGGAAGAATGAGAAGCCGACTTCACAACTGATCATCGACATTTACTGGGACTCGAAATATAGAATTAAACCCATCTTGGTGACATAAACAGAAACTAGAATTGCGCGGAGATAAAGATGAAAAGATTTACGTATAGTACATAGCTAAATATGAACAGACGCTACAGGGTTCTCTGAATTCCAAGATAAAATAAAGTTTCGTCTTTTTGGTAAAATTTGCAAAGTGGGTGTGTCCGAAAAATCTTGCGTAAACCCTAGTGGATTATATCAGAAATAGACCGACAGACATCTATAAGGAAACTGATATATACATAGGGGTTGGACAAAATAATTGGAACACTTGTTAAATTCAAAGAAAAATTATTCAATATGGAGTTGTACCTCCTTTAGCCTCACAGACAGCTTTAACACGTCTAGGAATGAAATCATACAGCTTCCCGACTTCATCCAGAGGACTTTTCAGTCATTCTTCGATTAAAACCTTCTCCAGCTCTTTACGACACGACGGTGGAGGATACCGGCTCCTAACTTGTTGCTCCAAAATGCACAAATGTTCAATAATATTGATATCTTGAGATTGAGTAGGCCACTCTTTTAGGCTCTTCATACCAATTCTTAACCACTTGAGCAGTATGTATTGGAGCATTATCGTCTTGGAAGATGCAGTCGCCATCAGGGAATAAAGTCTTGGCCATTAAATGAACATGATCTCCCAAAATGTTCAGGTAATCTTTGCTGTTGATTCTACCACGCAGGGCAACTATTGGACTGAGACATTTCCATGATATGGCGGCCCAAACTATCACTGATCCAACTCCATGCTTCACTGTTGGAAGAAAGCAGTCAGGGTTGTAAGCATCTTTGGGCTGCTTCCACACACAAACTCGCCCTGAAGTTGGAAAAAGAGAAAAATTGGACTTGTTTGAGAATATGACTTCCGTCCATTGGTCTGCAGACCAGACATTGTGATCTCTGCACCACTTCAACCTCTTTTGAATGATGCGAGTGGAGAGAAGAGTTTTCCTCACCGCGGCTCTTCCATGATATGCAGGCTTATGGAACTCACGGTGAACCGTTTTAATAGAAACGGAACTATTCAGATGGTTATTCAACTCAGCAGTCACTTTGGCCGCATTTGTCTGATGATTTTTTGCCACATTGCGTTTCAATGCACGTCAGTCCCTGTCAGTAAGTTTGCAAGTCCGGCTCGAATCGCTACGGTTGCTAGAGGTCTTGCCCTGTTTCTCGAATTGCATCAGTGTTCTTGATATGGTAGCTCTTGAAAACCAAATAGTTCAGCAACCTTAGTGATCGAGGCTCCTGCCATGCGAGCTCCAACAATTTGCTCTTTTTCGAACTCGAAGAGGTCACGCATTTAGCTTAAATTTTACTAAATTCTAAAAATAAGTAAGACAAAGACATATATAATGAAATATATCTATAATGAAGCTCATATATATATATATATATATATATATATATATATACATATATAGTATTTACATTAGTCGGACTATTGTCCTCATCTTTGTCGCCATATTTGTCACAACGTTTCGGCCGTTGGACGCTCCGGCCTTCTTCAGGTGGTAGGAACTTCGAACTGAACCCTTTATTTCGATCACTGGGGTAGACTGTTCTAGTTCCACGTGCCATGTTTGATGGATGTCAGTTATCTCCTGCTAATTTTCCCTCTGAAAGTTCTCCACTGGCTTAACCAGGAATTGAACTCACCTTCTTTGGGTCTGTCACTGGATCTAACCAACGCCTTTATCCACTGTGCCATGTGTCCTTGATGACATCTGAGTATTATAAACCTAATGTTTTCAGCATCATTTTTACCAGTGCTCATATTGCAATTTTTGTTGTTATCATTGCATGTTTTTACCAGAGCTCATATTGCAACTTTGTTATCATTGCTTTTCTCTGGCACTCCTTATTACTGGTTCCCATATTGTATTTATTTCTATGCTTGGTCGGCTCAGGAGATTTTTGTGGCCTAGCATATGTGCTGATTCCTTAAGTTTACGAATTTTCCAATGGTGTTCCCTATCTATGATTTCAACATGATCCCACAGGGGGCGGTGATCTCCCTTCTCTCTCCATACGTGGTCAGCCACTCCTGATTTTTCTACTTCCCCTCTCGTTACAGCTTTCTGGTGTTCTTGAAGCCTTACCTTGAGGGGGCGGCCTGTTTCTCCTTTCCGCAGCTGCACGGGATAGCGTACACACAGTTTTTAGTCATGTTCCTCTCTGTGGGGGCTCTCACTTGTGAGAGATACCTGCGAAGTGTTGTCACGCTTTTGAAGGTTGTCCTGATGTTATATGGACCGCAGATCCTTTGTATTTTCTCTGATAAGAAGGCCGGAGCGTACAACTGCCGAAACGTTGTGACAAATATGGCGACAAAGATGAGGACAATAGTCCGACTAATGTAAATACTGTACATAATACCTCATCTCAGAAATATAGACATATATATATATATCAGTTTCATTATAGATGTCTGTCGGTCTATTTCTGATATAATCCACTAAGGTTTACACAAGATATATATTATTATATATAAAATACAATATTGGGAAGATTGTATGACGAATTGGAAAAGGTTTCCTTGTGACGCTTTTCAGTCTTCAGGACTTCATCAGACTATATTTGTTATGTTGATGAGAATTTAGTCTGATGAAGTCCTAAAGGACGAAACCTTTTCCACTTTGTCATACATTTTCCCCATATTGTTTTTCTGTCGAAAATGACATGACTATCAGACAATTCAATGTATCTATTCTAGATCTGACCATTCCCCTCTCTTACCCTCTATGTTAATTTGTTCAGTCCTTAAAGAAAAAAAAATCATTTCTAGGTCACTCTATCAGCTCATGTTTAATTCTTCCTACTTTTCTTTCTTTTCTTTTCCTCTTTCTCTCACTCTTTCCTTCTCTTTCCCCTCCCCTCCACTGTCTTCCCCCTCTCTCTTTCTCTCTATCCACCCAATTTTTAAAACCTATATTGATTTTTTTTTTATTTTTCTTTCTTCCTCTTTTAATATTATTTTTTTTCCTATTTTTTCTTTTTTCTTTTTACCTCTCCCTTTTCTTCCGTCTGGATAAATTGACTCCATTTATTATAAAACTTCGATATAAAGGGATAAATATTTGTATATTCATGAAATAAATTATAACCGAATGGATTTTTAAGCATCGTCTGTATTTATTACACACACAGAGCCACACACAGAGCCACACACACACACACACACATATATATATATATATATATATAACACCCTGTTACCTCTGAGTTTTGATTTCAATGTCCACTTTTATATATATATATATATATATATATATATATATATATATATATATATATTAAAACACGTCTCATCAAATAATTTAGATAAATTTTGTCTACTTATTTTTAATAGGATCCTCTCGTAATTATGGACAAGTTTCTTAGTATTCTCATTAAAGGAAGAAAGAAAATTACCATGTTGATGCATATTCATTTTATTCCGAGTACTTTTGACATTAGCACATGTATTTGCGTATATTTAAATAAATATATATTTAAATAAATATATATTTAAATAAATCTTATTTTTTTCCCAAAGCTGGAGTTTCTCATGATTAAAACGAAAGAAAAAAGATGAATAACTTTTCAAAACATCGTTAATATTTATTTTCGTTAATTTCTCTTTTCAAGTCGAAATATATAATACATCTTAATGGGTAAAAAAGTAAATGATTTTTTTTTAATCCTGGTTTTTATCCATTTTCATCCATTAATTTCCGCTCTCGGATCTGGTGAAGCCTCAGTCAGCGAAATTCATAATCGTATATATTTCGGAACAAATATACTTTCATGAACGTTTTCCAATTGTCTAAAATCTAAAACTTTGCCGGGATCATATATCTGGATTTTAAAACTGTTCTAAGGAAATGTCACACGCTCCCTATCACCTATGTGGACTGACTATATTAGTAGCTATATAGTGAACACATGATATACCTAGGGGCTTGCTTTGTGAATTAGTTAAAGATTCGTCTCCAGCTGTGCTTGTCAAACTCTCTGCCTTCGGAACACAGATGAGGCTATGCCAAAGAGCAGACTCTCATCTGGGGAGGGGATAGACAGCTACCCGACCCCGTGTATACAAGGTCAAAGGCAGAATTTTTGCCCGAGCCTACGTGGTCGGTTTTGCCCCGCATTAAAAACGGCCTTGTGCCACATCCTGTCTCGCAGGGAGGTAAGGTAAATAACCTTGCTTCGGCAATTAGGTAGAGATTCGTTTCCAGCTGTGCTGGTCGAACACTTTGCCTTCGAGCAGAGAGGGACCCAGACGAGGCAATGCCGAAGGTCAGAGTCTCGTCTAGGGATAGTAGACAGCTACCCGACCCCGTGTATACGAGGTCTACGGGGAATTTTTACACGATCCTACGGGCTCGGTTTTGCCCCGCATTAAAACGGCCTTGTGCCACATCCTACATCACTGGGAGGTAAAGTAAGTAACCTTTCTTCGGGAATTACTAGCCTGCCACCCGATTCTCTGTTGTTCAGTAGTGTATTCTCTTTTACAATAAACCTCTCTTCTTTCATCTCCGCGCGTGTTGCTGTTCTTTTCACTCGAGTACCACCTTCGCCTGTTTGTAACCTCTTTACGGATACAACAAAAACATACTGTCGACACAGAAAGCAACTAGATAAAAAAAAAAACAAGTCTTTTACTTTCTACCCTTTCCGATTAATTATATCTTTCGTCTCAAAAACTGAAAGAAAATAATTATTAATTACTTTTTTAAAAGTCACTCATTTTCTTATTTTAATCATAAGAAACCCCAGCTTGGGAAAAATAATAAAATTTGATTATTTAAACATACACAGATACACATGCACACAATTCATTTTTCGCTTTCGGATCTGATAAAACCTTAAAAGGCGAAATGCATAATCGGATAAATTTCGGAACAAATATACTTTTACAAAGGTTTTCCAATTTTCTAAAATTTTAAACTTTACCGGTATCATATATAGTAAATTTAAAGCTTATATATATATATATATATATATATATATATATATATATATATATATATAACAGCCTGTTACCTCTGAGTTTTGATTTCAGTGTTCACTTTTATATATATATATATATATATATATATATATATATATAAGATGAGAACGAATAGAGTACAATTCCAACGTTCGTAACATTTAATTTAAAAAGTGGCCCAATAAAAAATAGAGCAATATTATTTAAAATATATAAAATCGAAATACATGTCAAAAGACTTCACAATTGCAACCGGGTTTCGATGCGTATCAAACACGACTGCTTGTAATATCCTAAAAATAAATTATACACACACACACACACACACACATATATATATATATATATATATATATATATATATATATATATATATATATATATATATATGCCAGTGTGTGTGTGTGTTGATTCAAGAAGACAGGTTTAAATATTGGTTGGAATAATGTCTTGGTGCGAGCGTTTTAAACAGGTTGCCTTTCCTTTCTTTATGCATCTTATTTCGTGTATACGCACGCACAAACACACACACACACACACACACATATATATATATATATATATATATATATGTCAAGCGCCATGAGAACCTCTCTCTTTGCAGAAAGCTGAAAATAATTTTCCCTGTAGAAGGAGCTGCTTTTATTACCACAAGGTCATTTTAAAACAAGGAAATTCTAACGTATTTTGCCAAGCCCATAACAACGTTGTTTCAATTTATTAAGGAGGGGGAACTTAATTAATTAATCCTTCCAATGTAGCCTCATCGCCTTTAGTCAAGTGCAGGTCAATGTGGTTTATATATTTAAAATAATATTTTAAAAAAAAACTGCTCCCTTCCCAAGCACTCAAAGACCGAAGTAACAAATTTTATGCTTCCTATCGGAGATCGTCAACGGGAAAATGTCCCATTTTTATTCACCGGTGCAATACATTATTCTCATCCTCAAATATGGATGACGTAAACTGAAAATTTTGTCGTCTGTATGCCGGATCCACTCAGGACGTGGGCGATCATTACTCTCCACAACTCTATATAAGTTGTAAGTTTGTAAGTTTTGTCATCTCTTTCAATCACTGCTCTGTCATCAGACGCGTGTGTTGGATTTCTCGCTGATTTTCTTTGACCTGCTTGACTTCATTATGTCATGTGAGTGTCGAATTTTCTTTATTATCTACCCTAGAAATTTAAACTTTTTTCTAAGTATAAGTTTCATTTTTGTTTCTATTTTCATTAAAAAAAAACTCCTAATTTACCGATTGTTCTGTCCTTCTATAGAACCACATTACTGTGGCCTCAAGTTTCAACTTCCTCTGTGAGGACACTGTCTAAAATTCACTGCCATATATGGCAGTGAATTTTGGACAATGTCCTCACAGAGGAGTAATGACCTTGCATAATACAAAAGAGCAAAAGAAATAACTCCCTTATATCGGGTGCAACAGGAAAATTATCCAAACCCAGCAATTTTCCGATTAAGCTTTGAACCGTTGTATCTTTAAAATGATTAAAGATATCTTACTGGAATTCTCCGAGGTTTTTATAAAACTATTGGACTCTACGTTGACCAATAAGAATGTATTCAGTCCTCATATGAAATAATGATCCCTCTTCTTGTGGCCATCTCCTGATCCAGTTTTCTTCTCTACTGCACTTTTTTTTTAAATGTATTCACCGTTTTCTTGATGGTTTTTGAATGAACTTTGAATATGGAAGCCAGAGTATCATGTTCGTACCATTAGTGAAGGCCTGAATGATTTTTCCTCTCATCATTGCTTAACTGAGAGGACAGTTGTGCTGATACAAAACAATTTTAACCTGTTCTCTTTCTAGATGAATAAATCAAAGGGTTTTTCAGTGATTCTTACAACAAATGGTGTCAAGATGGCTAAATGTCGTATCTAAATACCTGGAAAAAAGAAACTCAATTAGTTTAGTGTTTGTTTAGATATTAAACATTTTGTGGTATGGACAATTATCCTATGCTGTTACACGATTGGGAACAATTTTGCTGTTACACCCATTATATCTATAATAAACACTTCCCACATAATTGTAAGTTATTAATGACAATGGTGTCTTCATCTACCTAATGTCTTTTTAAAGTATTTCTGGGATCTATATCTCGGAAGTATTTTTGTCGCACTCTGTAGTTTAGTACTCTTTTCTTTGTTTCTAACGATAATCTCAAGTGTGCATTTATAATTTAGAAAATTCTTACTATCTTACTGAGTTCGATACCTATATGCTTAAAAAATTACGATTATCTTTATCAATTTGTAGTTTTTTGGCGTAATTTCAAATGATCTAATCTTCGGCCTGAATGATATAACAAAGCGTTCATTTTTTTATCTGTCTATATTTCTGAGATGAGGTATTTTGTACACTATTTACATTATTCGGACTATTATCCTTATCTTTGTCGCCATGTTTATTACAACGTTTCGGGCGTTGTACGCTCCGGCCTTCTTCAGGTGGTTGGAGACATGGTACATTGGCGTTAGTTAGATCCAGTGACAGGACCCAAAGAGTGTGAGTTCAATATCCGGTTAAGGCAGTGGAGAACTTGCAGAGAGGAATTAACAGGAGATAACTGACAATTGACATCCATTAAACATGGCACGTGGAACTAGAACAGTCTGCCCCAGTGATCGAAATAAAGTGTTCAGTTCGACATTCCAACCACCTGAAGAAGGCCGGAGCGTACAACGGCCGAATCGTTGTAATAAATATGGCGACAAAGATGAGGACAATAGTCCGAATAATGTAAATAATGAACTTTCCTATTTGGTAATTAGATTTTATGAATTTAAGGTCCCGACATTTTACGGCTAGAGGTGCGCGTAAGTCCTATGCTAACAGTTTCTTCTCTTGCATTTTTCGCTAACGGGCCGCTCTTTCTGCTTTTTGCTTTCCTTTCAACTTGGATGTCAAAAATTTAAATGCAATTCCAATCGTTTTCTTAAATACTTTTCTGTTATTGTTCTCTCTTCTTAATAATGTGTTTCTTTCTCATATTCTGTAACACTCAGTAGCCCTTGCGTCTTAGCGGCTTTATTGCCTTGTTTGGGGGCGAAATGATTAAAGAAATAATGGCGTAACCGAATGGGAAAAAATAGAAAAATACCCCAATAAAGTGGGCTAGATGATGTATCTGGATATATCAGATGCCAACAATTTAAAAATGTAAAGCTCAACGTCAATGAATCTTCGACCTTTCGGTTCCACAAATTACCATGTAACTGGATGGCAGAGTGGCGACAAAGAAGAATGGTAAGTAATCAAACGTTGCTTAGAGCTGCAAAGGAAATTGTGGAGAGCCATAAGGTCCCATGACCTGAAGAAACAGAACGCATGGTAGCGGAGGAATCATCAGTAGGAACGATCAATCTTTGAAATAAACGCCAAGATTTGGCGTCATTTGCGAGTAGAAAAATACTTTATGCACGAAATAGATCAATGACGTAACTAATGCCATTGGAGTTATGTAAATCTGGGTACCGTCCGTGTTTCCGATTTTGCGTTTGTCCCTATTTGTCTCTGTCGGGTGTCTTTCTTTTCTTTCTTTTGTGTATCTTTGCCTCTGAGGTCGTCGCTATTCGCCTTGAGTTTCTTTCATAAACGTTCTTGTGTTTCTACCCTTTTTCGTTTTGCCCGATTCGTCTTTTGCTCTCTCTCTCTCTCTCTCTCTCTATATATATATATATATATATATATATATATATATATATATATATATATATATATATAACACTAAAACTTTGAAAAGAATTGTCTCAACCATCTGAGAGAATTAGAAATTAACACTAAATCTCGGGCGAATACATCGGCACATATGCGAATCAACACGTTAATGAAGAAATATACTGAATTCAACACCATCTTAATAAGACACCAGAAGTGTTGAAAAAAATGGCTATTTGTGTAGTGATTTTATACCATATTTATGTTATAATTTTCGAATAAATAATTATATTTACTCTTGAGCACTCTTTTAAGAATAGTACTTTTTTGGTTATTGGAATTTATTCCGTATACACCAATCCTATATATATATATATATATATATATATATATATATATATATATATATATATATATATATATATATATATATATGTAGCCTCTTCGCCTTCTTCCTTTGTTCCTATTCGTATATTTAGTGTATCATTGCTTTTACTTTCCTTTCTGTGTGTCACCATCAAGTCACTCTTTTCATTATTCTTTCTCTCTTTTTTCTTGTGCGTCTTCGCCTTTGCGTTTTTCCTTATTCGTTTCTCCCCATATCTCTCTCTCTTTCTCTTTCTCTTTCTCTCTCTCTCTCTCTTTCTCTTTCTCTCTCTCTCTCTTTCATCTCCCATCTGTGACTTCAACACCATGTTTGTCCCTGTGTGCGTCTCTACCATATCTCTATTTGTGGCCTTCACTTCCATAGTGATCTTTGTTACTTCACTGTAGTGCTATCTATCTATCTATCTATCTATCTATCTATCTATCTATCTGTCTGTCTGTCTGTCTGTTTATTTTTTTTTAAAAATGAAGAAAAAATACCGAAAAAAAGAACACAAGCTGTTCCAACTTCTTAAAGAATAGATGAACATCTATTTACAAACATCCGTCGCGTGTCTTCACCTCCGCATTCGTCTCTAGCAAATCTTTCTTCCTTTCTTTCTTTTTTCTTTCTTTCTTTCTTTCTTTCTTTCTTTCTTTCTTTCTTTCTTACTTGTGTGTCTTCCCCCGCGTTTGTCTCTCTGTGTTTCTGTTGAGTCTGTGTGTGTGTGTGTGTGTGTCTTCACCTTCGTGTTTGTCCCCTTGAATCTCTCTTTTTACTTTCTCTCATTTCGGATTTGATCATCTTAATCCCCAAGAAGAGAAAGATTTCCACTTGATGCGACAATCCCGGTGCCTACATCTGCCGTCCATTCAAGTAATGCTCAGAAGTTTAATCTACTAATCATACGGCGACTGGCTTTGCCAAAACACATGGATCTTCCGCTTGCGTTTGTGTCGAATACCATAAATCATTGAGATTTTTAAAGCTGTGATTATAGCCATCAGATCATCAACACACTTTGTCGTAAGGCAGTGATGGGGAATCGACATTTACAGTTTTGTTATAAACGTACAGCTTACAGACACACGTCCGGATCGAGTCGTAAAGAAAGGGAACGAGAAGTCAAGAAGACTGACATGGTCGCTTAATCCGAAAGTTGAAAAACTTCCATAATCCCAAATAAATGATGTTGACGTTCCAAGCCTACGTTATTGATCTAAGCCGTGGATGTCTGTATTTTCTGCTTTTTTTTTCTTTTTTTTTTTTTTTTTCTGTTGGCCGTTGTAATGAAATGACTCCATTACTGTACGCACTAGCCTTTAAAAGAGATTATCGTCATTACAAGCAGTTATTATGAAATGACTACATTACAGTGAGCGCCATACATCATAAAGAAATGTCTTCATTACTGTACGCACCCGCCATTATAAATAAATCACCCCCATTACAGTACGCACCGGCCATTACAATGAAATGTCTTCATTACTGTATGTGCCTTTCCTTATAAGGAAATGTCTTCATTACTGTATGCACCAGCCGTGACAATGAAATGTCTTCATTCCTGTACGCACCAGCCGTTACAATGAAATGTCTTCATTACTGTATGTCCCTTTCCTTATAATGAAATGTCTTCATTACTGTATGTCCCTTTCCTTATAATGAAATGTCTTCATTACTGTATGCACTAGCTGTAACAATGAAATGTCTTCATTTCTGTACGCACCAGCCGTTACAATGAAATGTCTTCATTACTGTACGCATCAGCCGTTACAATGAAATGTCTTCATTACTGTACGCACCAGCCGTTACAATGAAATGCCTTCATTACTGTATGTCCCTGTCCTTACAATGAAATATCTACATTACCGTACGCACCAGCCGTTACAATGAAATGTCTACATTATTGTACGCACCAGCCGTTACAATGAAATGTATTCATTACTGTATATACCTGTCCTTATAATGAAATGTCTTCATTACCGTATGCACCAGCCGTTACATTGAAATGTCTTCATTACTGTATGTACCTGTCCTTATAATAAAATGTCTTCATTACTGTACGCACCAGCCGTTACAATGAAGTGTATTTATTACTGTACGCATCAGCAGTTACAATGAAATGTCTTCATTACAGTATGAACCTGTCCTTATAATGAAATGTCTTCATTATTGTACGCACAAGCCGTTACAATGAAATATATTCATTACTTTATGTCCATGTTCTAATAATGAAATATCGTCATTACTGTATGTCCCTGTCCTTATAACGAAATGTCTTTATTACTGTATGCACCAACCGTTACAATGAAATGTCTTCATTACTGTACGCACCAGCCGTTACAATGAAATGTCTTCATTACTGTATGTCCATGTTCTTATAATGAAATGTCTTCATTACTGTACACACCAGCCCTTACCATGAAATGTCTTCATTCCTGTACGCACCAGCCGTTACAATGAAATGCCGTTATTACTGTACGCACCAGCCGTTACAATGAAATGTCTTCATTACTGAATGTCCCTGTCTTTACAATGAAATGTCTTCATTATTGTACGCACCAGCCGTTACAAGGAAACGACTTTATTACTCTACGCACCAGCCGTTACAATGAAGTGTCTTAATTACTGTATGTCCCTGTCCTTACAATGAAATGTCTTCATTATTGTACGCGCCAGCCGTTACAATGAAATGTCTTTATTTCTGTACGCACCAGCCGTTAAATGAAATGTCTTCATTACTGTATGTACCTGTCCTTATAATGAAATGTCTTCATTACTTTACGCACCAGCCGTTACAATGAAATGTCTTCATTACTGTAAGCACCAGCCGTTACAATGAAATGTCTTCATTACTGTATGTGCCTGTCCTTATAATGAAATGTCTTCATTACTGTACACACCAGCCCTTACCATGAAATGTCTTCATTCCTGTACGCACCAGCCGTTACAATGAAATGCCGTTATTACTGTACGCACCAGCCGTTACAATGAAATGTCTTTATTACTGAATGTCCCTGTCTTTACAATGAAATGTCTTCATTATTGTACGCACCAGCCGTTACAAGGAAACGACTTTATTACTCTACGCACCAGCCGTTACAATGAAGTGTCTTAATTACTGTATGTCCCTGTCCTTACAATGAAATGTCTTCATTATTGTACGCGCCAGCCGTTACAATGAAATGTCTTTATTTCTGTACGCACCAGCCGTTAAATGAAATGTCTTCATTACTGTATGTACCTGTCCTTATAATGAAATGTCTTCATTACTTTACGCACCAGCCGTTACAATGAAATGTCTTCATTACTGTAAGCACCAGCCGTTACAATGAAATGTCTTCATTACTGTATGTGCCTGTCCTTATAATGAAATGTCTTCATTACTGTACGCACCAGCCGTTACAATGAAATCTCTTCATTACTGTATGTCCATGTCCTTATAATAAAATGTCTTCATTACTGTACACACCAGCCGTTACAATAAAATGTCTTCATTACTGTATGTCCCTGTCCTTATAATGAAATGTCTTCATTACTGTACGCACTAGCCGTTACAATGAAATGTCTTCATTACTGTACGCGCCAGCCGTTACAATGAAATGTCTTTATTACTGTATGTACCTGTTCTTATAATGAAATGTCTTCATTACTGTATGTCCATGTTCTTATAATGAAATGTCTTCATTACTGTACGCACCAGCCGTTACAATGAAATGTCTTCATTACTGTATGTCTATGTCCTTATAATGAAATGTCTTCATTACCGTATGCACCAGCCGTTACAATGAAATGTCTTCATTACTGTCCGCACTAGCCGTTACAATGAAATGTCTTCATTACTTTATGTCCCTGTCCTTGTAATGAAATGTCTTTATTACTGTATGCCCGGCACTTTAATGAAATGTTTTCATTACTGTACGCCCCAGGCACATTTATGAAATTTCCTCATTACTTTATGCACAAGCCGTTATAATGTCGTTATTATTGTATGCACCGGCTGTTATAAGGAAACGTCAATTTAACAAATCCAAAAATTACTACTGATGTCCAATAATCGTCCATGGTCAAAAAAAAATAGCATCTCATATATCTCTTATCATTCAAACTAATGCCCATTTAAACAAAACCAGTGGGTATTTGCTCGAAACGTTTTACTTATAGTAAAAATCAATGATAAGAACAATAGTTCAAATAAAGCGAATAATTAACAATGTGACACTGGGATTAAATAGCATGCAGGATGAGATGCAACTAAAAATGCTTCCTCTATTCAAACTCCCCCTGTCCGTTTGATCCATTTCGATGTTAGTTTTATAATGTTTTTGTTCATAACAATTACTAATCGTAAAATTACTATACGGTCGCTACTACTGATTGTTACCGTACTAACAATATACGGATATACTAATGATTTTTGAGGCAAGTAATGTGCTATTCAAAGAGAATAATTAAACACCAAAGAGAAGCAATCTGCCATTTTAGCACACACAGTATTTAGATACCAACAATTCATTTTCTTTCTGCAAGTGGAGTAATGGATTCCAGTCAAATCCATTACATTCACTTACGTGCTATTACCCTTGGGAAAGGTATGAATCTTCTTCTTCCCCCAGCTATGGGTAAATAACAGGACAGACCGGGTTCTATAACCTTGGATAGCAACTGGTCTACCGCAGAAAGAAATGGCAACCTACTGCGGGAAAAATCTGCCTCGTCAGTCATATATCGAAAGATACATGATCGCCTAAGCATGTATGACGCATGGTACATAACTGACTGATTCCTTGTATATATGCCGAGTTCGAATTCCAGTCATATCCTTTACATTCACTTACGGGCTAATACCCTTCGGAAAGGTATGGATCCTTTTCTTCTCCCCCATGGGTAAATAGCAGGACAGACCGGGTTCTATAGCCTTGGATGGCAACTAGTCTACCACAGAAAGAAATGGCAAGGAATACTGCGAGGAAAAATCTGTCTCGTCAGTCATGTATCGAAAGATACATGATCGCCTAAGCGTGTAGCACGCATGGCACATAAGTAACTGACTGAGGTGGAGTAATCGATATTTAAACATTTAAGAATCAGCAAATTTGCAGAAACTCGAGTTTCTTCATCTCAACATTATTGTTAAATGAAAAAGTGAGTTAATAATATCCCAATAAATATTTTGATATATTTTTCTGCGCGATTAAAATATGAGTCTTTTCCTTAATTTTCTAAAACCTTTCATCAAAGAGTTTTGATGTTATACATCTAATATCGCTATTCTATCAGTAAGTCTTATACTATCGTCTTCCATTTGATGCTCTGCCTATTCTATCAGAAAGAATCTATATATTCTATCAACAACCCTCTACTTATTCTATCCGTTCTATGCTCTATCTACACTATTCTAACAATAATGGCCTATCTATTCTTACAGTCTTTACTCTATTCCATGCTCTATTTTATCTAGTCTTGCATATCTATTCTATACTCCCTGTTCTATCACTAGTGATTTATCTATTCTATACAGTATCTATTCTTTTCTATATCTTATTCTATCATTAATACTCTCTCTATTTTATTCTATACTCCTGCTTTTCTGTCAGTAAATCCCTGTTTATTCTATGTATTCGATATTCAATTTATTCTATCAATAAAGCTATATCTATTTTATCTATGCTATGCTCTATCTATTCTATCAAATAGTCTCTATCTATTCTATAGTCCAGCTGTTCTATCCACAATATTCTGTTCTCTGTATTTTATAATCTATAGAGTCCATAACTGATCTGCATTTATGTTTTATTAACTAGTTCTTCTATCAACAACGCTTTGTCTTTTTTCTACTCTACACATTACTCTAAAACCTATCTATTCTGTTTTTTAGCCTATTTTTCTGTTATGGGACCTTACCCATAATAACATAATGGACTATTCCATACGTAATAAATACTGCGCCTCAAGGGGAAGCGGGGAGTTCTGCCTGAAGTCGGGCGACCGGCTGATAGGCTGATCGGTTGAACTCTCTGCCTTCGGGCAGGGAGGAACCCGAACGAGGCTACGCCGAAGGGCGGAGTCTCTTTCGGGGAGGTAAACCGACCCTGAACCCGTTTATACGGGTTCAAAGGGTATATCTTTGGCCGAGCCCACGGGCTCGGAGATCCCACGTTAAACCGGGCTTGTTCCACATGATACCCTCTTTGGGGGGTTGACTAAATACCGTTCAGTCTGAAGTCTGGAGTGAAGTCCGTCAGGAGTCTGTCAATCAGAGCGAGCGAGCGTGCGAGTCAGTCAGTCGAGTCAGAGGCAGTCCGAAACAGAGTCGCGTTCAGACAATTACTACTAAACCTGATTGTTCGTACTAACACTTTCTACTTATCTGTATATATTCCTGTTTGTAATATATCTGTGTTATTCCATATCCGTGTTCGAGTTCTTCTTTATTGATTCTAACTTGGACTATTACCGTGATACAAGGAACCAGACCATAACAGTGGCGACGAGGAAACCAACTCTACGCGGAGGACATACCTTTTTTTTTTTTTTGCTATCCGTCGCGCATAACAAGTGGCGACGAAGATTCGAACTCTCACGTGAAGAACAAACAACAAAATCTTCTCTCGTCAACATAACATTTTTAATCTGCCCTATACAAAACTAAACTAGCTTAATTAATATTTAAGTTGAAATCTGAAGATACGATGCTTAATCTCTTTTTCATTGTTTCGACAAGTTTTGTTTTTTTTTTTGTCTTAGTGTAGAAAATTCTAAAAACTAATCAGGTTGAGTGGAGGGAAATAACGTTGAAGTCATGTGGGCAATGATGTGTAAAAGCCGAAAACCTACGTGATTGTGCTAGATGTCAACGGAGTTGTTAACGAAAATACAACCGACATTATGGCTTCATTCACCCGCGCCGCCAAAATCTCTCTCTCTCTCTCTCTCTCTCTCTCTCTCTCTCTCTCTCTCTCTCTCTCTCTGGAGTGATAGAGTGAATAAATGTTTTGATTTGCTTAATAAGCCCTACGAGTGATATTAATAAAACTATGTTGTATCAAACGCTTGTTTCCCTGGTTGTTTGAAAAAAAATCAATGTGGTATTCATTTAGAGCTTAATTTGAAGCGACGATTGGCGACATCTTAGAAAACCTTGTCAGATATAATTATTAATTGTATCCGATAGCACTACTCCCCATATATATATATATATATATATATATATATACACACACACACAAACACACAAACGCACACATTATTAATTGTATCCGATAGAACTACTCCCCATATATATATATATATATATATATATATATACACACACAAACGCACACATTATTAATTGTATCCGATAGCACTACTCCACATATGTATATATATATATATACACACACAAATGCACACACACACATACATATATATATATATATATATATATATATATATATACAAACACACTTACACCCCCACATATATATATATATATATATATATATATACAAAACACACACACACACACATATATATATATATATATATATATATATATATATATATGAATGTAGGTAGGTATTTAGGGATGTAAGTAGAAGTGATTTTTTTTCTGAGAATTTAATCAAAGCACGTTTTTGGCGATATTTCTTTTCGCAAGGAATTTAGCAATAATTTATTCGAATCAAATTCAAGCAAAACAAACAGGAGATGATTTGGAAAAAAATAAATTCGAGAAAATATAGATATATTTATTCTACTGAAATATATCCATTGTAGCGTACCACCCTAATTTCGTTTCTTATTCCGTTAGGGAGATGTTAGCTCCACTCCACCAGTTTATTCCCACGACGCCGCTGTTTTGTGGAAGCGATTCCCAAGTTGATGCTTCCCCGATCTCTACAAACCTGGCCATTATCTTCCCCACATGTCCCCATAAACTGTGCTTCTTACGGTTTTAGATTCTTGCAGAAGGTAAATATCATTGTAAAAAAATTAAAAAAAAAAAAACTTCAGTTCGCTTCAGTTTTTCATCTTCGTTCTGTCCTATATTTTGGCGGCAGGAGGGACGAAGACAAACTTCAGTAAATTAACTGGGATTCGAGCATTAAATTACGTATGACAAATAACCCGAACAACTAATATGGTACGTAGAATGAATGATTCCATGGTCTCTTGTCTCGAAAGTTTTCTTAGTTTTTGTCTTGAAAGATTTTTTGAGTTCTAGTTTTGAAAGATTTCTTGTTTCTTTTGTTTGAAAGATTTCTTGTGTTGAAAGTTTTTTTGATTCTTTGTCTTGAATGAATTCTTGATTTGAAAGATTTTATCTCTTGCCTTGAAAGATTACTTGTTATCTTGTTTTGATAGATTTCTTGATTTGATGTCTTGAAAGATTTCTTGTTTTGATGTCTTGAAATATTTCTCGATTTGATGTCTTGAAAGATTTCTTGATTTGATGTCTTCAAAGATTTCTTGGTTTGATGTCTTGAAAGATTTCTTGATTTGATGTCTTGAAAGATTTCTTGATTTGATGTCTTGAAAGATTTCTTGATTTGATGTCTTCAAAGATTTCTTGGTTTGATGTCTTGAAAGATTTCTTGATTTGATGTCTTGAAAGATTTCTTGATTTGATGTCTTGAAAGATTTCTCGATTTGATGTCTTGAAAGATTTATCAATTTCTTCTTTCGAAAGATTTCTGGATTTTTTCTTGAAAGACTTCCTATTTTGAAAAATTTCTTGATTTTTTTCTTAAAAGATTCCTTGATTTCTTATCTGGAATAATTTCTAGTAAAAGATTTGTTTTTTATTCCTTGTCTTGAAAGATTACATGATTTCATGTTTCGAAATATTTCTTGATTTTTTTTGTCTTCAAAGATTAATTAATGCCTTGTTTTGCATGATTTCTGATATTGACAGATCTGTTGTCATGAAAAATTTTCTTGATTTCTGGTCTTGAATGATTTTTGCTTAGAAAGATTTTTTTTTTTTGAATTTCTGATCTTGAGAGAATTCTTGTTTTGAAATATTTCTTGATTTCTTGGCTTGAATGATTTTTTTGTTTGGAAAGATCTTTTGATTTCTAATTTTGAATGATTTCTTGATCTTCTGTTTTGAAATATTTCTTGATTTATTGTATTGAATGTGTTCTTGTTGTGAAAGATTTATTTATCTCTTATCTTGAAATATTTTTTGATTTCAAGTTTCGAAAGATTTCTAGATTTTTTGCCTTAAAGGATTTCTTGTTTTGAAAGATTTCTTGTTTTTTTGTTTTGAAAGATTTCTTCTCTTTAAATATGTGTTGTCTGGAAAGATTTTCTCTTTTTAAATATTTCTTGTCTTGAAAGATTTATTCTTTTTAAATATTTCTTGTCTGGAAAGATTTATTCTTTTTAAATATTTCTTGTCTTGAATGATTTATTCTTTTTAAATATTTCTTGTCTGAAAAGATTTCTTCGCTTTAAATATTTCTTGTCTTGAAAGATTTATTCTCTCTAAATATTTTTTGTCTGGAAAAATTTCTTGATTGCATGTCTTGAATGATTTCTTGCTTTGAAAGATTGTTTGATTTTTTGTCTTGACAAATTTCTTGATTTTCTGTTTTGGAATATTTTTTGATTTCTTCTTGCCTTGTAAAATTTTTTGGTTTCTTCTTTCGAAAGATTTCTTCATTTTTTTTTTGTTCAAAGTAGAAGTTAAAGTCTAGTTCAGAGCAATGTTCCTTGTTTTTAATTTTCATAATTCTTTCTTTTGAAGTTCTGCTCAGGTAACACGATTTCATTAACTCATTCAAACCCATCGTCCCATTTTCTTGCATGAATTGTTTATCCTTCCTTCCTTCTTCCCTCCCTTTTCTTAGAGCGGAAACCCGAATACTAACACTCATACAACTACGAAATATCTTCGTGGATGTCTTAGTCTTGAACGACAAATGTAGAAACTACTATTATAGTCTGCATATACTTTTTCTCAAGCCTTATATGTACCTCTTTCTCAGCAGTGCTCGAAAAGATGTCTCGCACAAACTTATCTATTAGATATTATGTGACGTGTCGCTTCAGGGTATTAGAGCTCATGGCTCTCCACAACTTCCTATTCTTTGGAGCTCTAAACAGTGTTTGTCCCCTTACTTTCGAACGCAGTTTCTATCTGTTACTCGTTTGCATGCGCCCGTTAAATAGGTTACTCGATGATTTTCTTTTGTTTACAACTTGTTATGTGAAATTCAGATTTCATAGTTGTTATGGGACCTTACCCATAATAACATAATGGATTATTCCATACGTAATAAATACTGTGCCTCAAGAGGAAGCAGAGAGTCCCGTCTGAAGTCGGACAACCGGCTGACCGGCTGATCGGTTGCACTCTCTGCCTTCGGGCAGGGAGGAACCAGAACGAGGCTACACCGAAGGACGGATTCTCATTCGGGGAGGTAAACCGACCCTGAATCTGTTTATACGGATTTAAAGGGCATATTTTTGGTCGAGCTAACGGGCTCGAAGATCCCACCTTAAACCGGCCTTGTGCCGCATGATGCCCTAGTGGGGGTGACTAAATACTGTTCAGTCTGGAGTAAGGTCCGTCAGAAGTCCGCCAGGAGTCAGTCAGTCGAGGCAGAGGCAGTCCGAAACAGAGTCGCGTTCAGACAATTACTACAAGACATTGGAATAGTGATACTGGTTGAGACTACATTGTTCTCTCTACTAAACCTGATTGTTCGTACTAACACTTCTTTCTCTGTATATATTCCTGTTTGTAATATATCTGTGTTATTCCATACCTGTGTTCGAGTTCTTCTTTATTGGTTCTACCTTGGACTATCACTGTGGTACAAGGAACCGGACCATAACAATAGTAATAGCAAAAGATATTGCAGAAGTGATTAGATCTTCACTAATCTGAACGTTCTCTTCAGATAGGACACCAAGGGTCAAAAGCCTTGTTGGAGTTGTTACAAAAGCACCGATCTTAATCACAACCTGTCTACATTGTGTTGATGTTGCCGTTTTCCGAACACAATAAATGTTTAAATATCTAAGAGGTGTTTTAACGGAGGACAGAAAGTCTGGAACTGGAATCCGAAGACGTATTAGGATCGCTAAAGATGCATTCCAGAAACTAAGCAGACTATTAAGAAACAGAAAAAAACTTCAATATCTGTCTATATTTCGGAGATGAGGTATTATGTACATTATTTACATTATTCGAACTATTGTCCTCATCTTTGTCGCCATATTTATTACAACGTTTCGGCCGTTGTACGCCCCGGCCTTCTTCCGGTGGTTGGAATGTCGAACTGAACCCTTTATTTCGTTCACTGGGGTAGACTGTTCTAGTTCCACGTGCCATGTTTAATGGATGTCAGTTATCAGTTATCTCCTGTTGATTTTCCCTCTGAAAATTCTCCACTGCCTTACTACTAAACCTGGTTGTTCGTACTAACACTTCTCTGTATATATTCCTGTTTGTAATATATCTTAGCCTATTGAACTCACACTCCTTGGGTCCTGTCACTGGATCTAACCAACGCCTTTATCCACTGTGCCATTTGTCCTTGAGGACATCTGTGTATGAATTTCTGGATATTATAAACCTAATGTCTTCAGCAACCATTTTTACCAGTGCTCATATTGCAATTTTTGCTGTTATCAGTCCATTAGGTTTATAATACCCAGAAATTCATAATTGGTTGTAATAAATGGCGAAAAGATGAGGACAATAGTCCGAATAATGTAAATAAATAAAAAAAACTTCTTTAGGAAACAATACTGAACTGTTACTTGTTATCTTCCCTCCTATATAGCAGCGAATGATGGACGATCTCCTCACAGATGAAAAAGAGACTTGAAGCAACAGATATGTGGTTCTACAGAATGATGATGAGGATACCATGGATCGAACATGTAAGAAACGGCGATGATTTAAATAAAATGGAAACAAAAAATTAACTTAACATCGGGAAGAGACACAGGGGATTTCTAGTGCACATATTGTAGAAAGAGGGTTTGGAAAATCTGATACTCACAGGAAAGATTGAAGGCAAGAGGGACAGAGGAAAACAACGCTTAGTGAGCTTGAATAAATGGATGGCGGAACAGGATTTAAGATAAATAATAGAAAGACAAAATTTATTAAGAGATACAAGGAACAGAAAGTTGTGGAGAGCCATGATCGCCTACATCCAGAATGGATACGGCACATGAAGAAGAAGGAGAAATATTTACAGAATTTACTGCCTCTAATTTGTCTTCTTCTTTGTGCCATCGCCTTTCAGAGCCTGGACGATTACGGCTCTCCATAACTTCCTATCAAGTGTAACTCTGAGCAATTCTTATTATCTTCCACGGTCCTTTTTTTTGCCATCCATTTATACACGCTCGTTAGTCGGGTTACTTGATGTTTTCTTCTGATTCTCTTCCCTTCAGGATATCCTCTAAGCTTTACTGTATACGCTTTTTGCGTTCGCGAATGTCTTATTCCCGCCAGACAGGTCGCGAATCAGCTATCAGAGTCCGCATATGTTTCATAATATTTCGCCAATTCCCTCGCACCTTCGCTACCGTTACTTCTCAGCATTTATCAGTCATGTCGCTTGCAGCACGTATCCGTAATCCAATTTGTTTCGAGAAGATCGGAACTCCGGCAAAGTGAGGGCTGGATTTAATGAACACATCGCAGTTGAAGAATTCACCACCCGAGCCCACCACTGTTGCCGCCTCAATCCTCGACTTGACTGTCTACAGTCAGAATAACGAAACCGCGTTACAATTTAATACATGGCTCCGTGTTTGCAAATTCAAACATCTATCGAGTGAAACGACTATTTTCCTTTGATTATGTGCAGAGAGGTTGCGAAGAGGCGGTATTTTGCTAGAATGCTTGGCCAGAATTAAGTACACAGGCTTTCAAAGATACACGGTGACTATCATTAGGGTTAGTTTGAAAGTGGTTTTCTTAATGGTTGGGTACGAAATATGTTGATAAGTTTACACTTTCATCTGTAAAATCCGACATTTAGGATTTACCATACACTAGATGCTACTTATGCAGATAGATTCATATCACTATAATCATAAATTCCATTTCATATTTGAATATGCTTTCCATGAAGAAAGATATTTTGTATTCTGATTATTCAACCGAGTATTACTATTAATATATATGTATATGTATACATATATATGTGAAAAGTGTATATATACATATATATATATATATATATATATATATATATATTATTCTGAATAGTATATATATATATATATATATATATATATATATATATATATATATATAATATTTATATATATATATATATATATTATTCTGAATATATATATATATGTACTGCAGGCAAAGCTTATGGGGCTAACCTGCATTTCTTAAAAACTCGCTTTGAAATGAGATGAAGTAAAAAGGTAAAATTTCAGTAACTACAGTGTATTTGTTTTTATTTTGAAAAATGCGTAAGCACTTAACTATAAAAAATTAATATAACAGCATTATATTATTTTGTTTTCGTCAATAAAACAGCCGCCCTTCTTATTTATTAGTTTACAAATTCTTGACATTAATTCCGATATTTTTTGAAAAAAGTAGATGACAAACCCTACCAAGCATTCTTCAAGCACTATAAAGGCTCACTCTCACGCTTTGGATATTCTCTCCGAACTCTCCTAACAAATTTATCCAATACTAATTCAGTGTGTAAGAGGTCATTCCCAAAATGTTGATACTTTTTTCTTGATTCGTCATAAGCTAGAAGAGTATTTTGAACTATTGTCCTTATGAAAAATGATTTTTTTTCCCCAATTATACGTAAACCAGGTGGTGTAGCAATTCTTTAAAAAATCGAATGATATCGTTATTTTTTCATGATTCCCTTGACCGGAAACAAATCTCCAGTCATTTTTGTAGTCTCAAAAAGTTTACGAATGTTATAAAGTTTCAGTTCTTATCTTATTTACAATGGTAATGGTAATATTATAGTTAATGGTAATGGTAATATTATAGTATACTTAATAGAGTAGAAAATAGCGGTCCATATAGAATAGAGGATAGACAAGAAATAGCGATCCGTATAATACTCAGGATAGACGAGCGATCATTTAAACGTCACGCGACTTCTTATAGATGCGTTTCCTTTTTGGTCACGTGATCCACTTAATTCAATAATGGGTTCGCCTGTGTTTGCAAACTGGCGATCTATGTTCAAACTCAAGTGTTGGCAGCGACACTTTATTCCTATATATAACAAAGATCTAAGCGACGAATCTAAACTTTGTTTACCAATTGTAATATTAATTCTATTTCAGTTATTCCTGGCATTTTCCGGCGTAGAACTAAAATGAAATAAGCGCTTATCAACATTAGTCCATTTTCTACTTTGTCTCTCGCAGACCTCTCTTCTGACATTGCTCTTGTTCAGACGTTCCCTCGGGCACGTCTCGTGCCTTGACCGCCTACTAAGAGTGGAACTGGTACATCGCTAAAGATGCAGAACAACACAATAGTTTCTTTTTCCTACTATCTTCTATCTTTACAAGCAACAGACCAGGCCGAAAAGGGTGTAAATGCTGCCATATATGGACGGGAGACGCTTCGTCTTCACTTTCCACTATCGATAGAAACCAAAAGCGTCTCTGCGTCCTTGTGGATGACGAATTATTTTCCACCCTACAACCCCTTTACTCACAGACGAAATGTCGGAAGCCTCCCGCTACACTGGCAATTTCTGTGGAGAGCGTTCCCGTCGTACAAGGCTAAGACCTACAATACCACGCACATTGTAAGGCACCAAACACATCCCCTTCCTATTCCCCTGGTGAGATATAAATCCCACTCAAGTAGCTTCTTTCAAGGAAACACTGGCTTGTGGAAGCGACCTCTTCGAAGTCGCTTCCCCGATTAGAGCAATCTTAACCTGCACAAGTCTAGATGTAATCGTTATCTTCCACACTTATCCGCATTAGCTGTGCATCTTACTCGGTAACCCTCTACTTGAGTCGCCCCAGAGCCTTGTAAACCTTCGGAAACTGTTACAAAAAAAAACCTTCGGAAACTGTTACTGAAATAGTTGGCGGTTATAAATTCTTTTATCAAGGCGGGAAATTGGGAAAGAAATGAGTGTGATATTTCATGAGAATGTATTGATATTCCTTTAATTAGTTTAATGAAATTCAACCTAAATTTCCATACCAATTATATTTGTTCAATTGCATCTCATCTTTTCTTACCGCTTCTTGACGTTGTTTTTTTCATTTAAGAAATTATGAATTTCAAACTTGGATTTCACGCGGGGAAATATCTTTTTACAGCAATCAACTCTTTTTCAAATTTTCTCAACACTAATCAAGATTTTGTCAAGCACATTTTTTTGCTGCAGTTCATTTTTGAAAGAGACAGAATTTCTTTTAAAAGTGTTTCTTCCCTTCTCTTTTTTTTTTTTTTTTTTTTTGCAACCAATAACAATTTAGCGACTGAATTTGAATTCACTTTCTTAAGCCAATGAAAATTAATTTTCTTAATTTTTCTTGGACACCATTATTTTCTCTGCTCATTCAAGATCCGAAATCTGATTTTCACGAAACTAATTAAATATTTGCCACCGATAAAAAACATCCGACGGTGAAAATGTCTTTTTTTTTCTATTTTTAATGCAATGGAAAAGAATGTTAGACATTAAAATCAATCGAAATTTGATGAAGATTTTTATCATAGCGTTTGAAATAATCTTCACCGTTCTCAAAACTCTAGCTTGATATGCACGGGTGACTGTATAACGTAAATAGAATAGATGTGAAATTGTCAGTAGAAATAATAAAAAAACACTAAATTAAAACATGCAATCCTTGTTTGATAAAACACTAAATTGAGAGATTTACATTTTTTCTCTCGTTCCCTCTTTTCTCTGATCTCGTTTGCGATTATGTTCTTAAAAACGGAACAATACAAATTTGGATTCTATTTAAACATTCGTTTATCTTTTATTTTTCTCGTTTTAAGATGGCTACCGTTCGGC